GAGACAGTTTAGATTATTCAAAGTAATGTTTGGGGCTTTTTTTCTAGAAGCAAATTAACCATTCATTGGTCAGATAAGTGAAGTAACTGGCATGCAGTTAACAAAATGAAATACATAAAGCAAAGAGTCTAGAGACAAACTGTTGGCCTGCCAAAACTGAATTGCACCACAACCGTGGGATTACAAGTTTCTATGCAACCTGTAAAATGGACACGGCTAAATGAAAACCTTTTTTACCCTTGTATCACTCCTTAAGTAGCCTTATGTAAGCACCTGCTTCTGGAAATGGAAACACAAGCATGCTTTCTTACACCTTTTGCAATAACATGCAGTAAGGGTTCCCTGTAAAGAAGATAGAGGACTGGCAAGATGGACAGGGCAGCTATCCCCTACATCACGTTAGACAGTATACTTTGTCACTTTTTTCTAACTGTATAATGTGGATAATTAAAACTAGTCTTCCTTACAGAGTAGTTGCACAGCTACGTTCATTAATGTGTGTAAATTGCTTTAAGGCTCCCCTAGGGTAAAGTATGATTGCCATACAAGACTGACACAATGCAATTTGTGCATGTATACTGACTATTCATTCACCAGGTTTTCCTGGTACAGTACAGATACTTACACAGCTGAAGATACTGTGTGACCAGCATGTGACATCTCAGACCAGTGGTGCTCAACCTTTTTTGCCTGGCAGGTGGAATGGTTAGTGCCCAGTAAGTATCTTGATCAGTGTCTGGGGCAGGTGGGCAGGTCCCATCCAGTTGTGTAAAAGAGGACAAAGGAGAAGCCTGGTTCCAACCCAGCCCACGGGGGAAGGGAGCTTGATCCAGCTCTGTGGTGGGGAGGTGGCATGGCCCTGATCCAGCCGCAAGGAGGAGGGGGTGCAGCATGGCCCTAATCCAGCCACAGGGAGGAGAAAAAGGGGCATGGTCCGGCCCGAACTCAGCCAAGTAGGGGCAAGAGAGAACAAGGGGCATTGCCCAGCTCCAACTTGATGTGTAGGGTTTGGGGTTTGGAAATCTATCAAGGGGGAGGGTGTCCATACTGTCACTGATGCCCCACTGCCAAATTTTCTGACCCATGGGGAGCCTCACAGGCCACATGTGGCTTGCGGGCTGGAGACTGAGCATCCGTCTCAGACAATTGCCAAAAAGATAGAGGTGGAGGGTATTGAGGCTGGGAGTTAGGACAAGTAGGTCTTTGGTTCTTTGTATTTTAAATAGCTGTTGCTCAATCTGAAGTTTGCACTGGATCACTGTCCTGCATCTGGACAACTGGTCCAAGTTATCTTAGTTCTTCAGGGGGGAAATCAGTGGTTTTAATAATTAATATTCTTCTTTGGCGATTTGGTTCAAATGTGAACATTGCTTAGTCCACCCCATATTTTGTTTTTTTAAACAAAGGTGCATGTTGCATGGGGACAGAAGACTTTACTGGTTTGAGGTCATTTCTTTTTAATACCCCCTAAAGAAGCTGATTTTCAAAATGAGTAAAGACCAACATATGCTAGGACTCTGCTCCTTTGCCTGAAGTTAGCTAATACAATATTTGGAAATTGAGGAGGGAATTGTTTAAATATCACTGCCATATTAACTTTGGAATGAGGCAACTGTACATGTGGCATATCTGGAGTAGCCAAATGATTTTTTGCTGCTAACAGTACTTTGATCTTGCAAAACTTCTTTTATGCAAGTATTGCAAACCTCTCTACAAATATTAATCCTCGCTAACCTACAGGAGGCAGACAGTGTTAAATTTATTTTTTACTAGAATAAACTGAGGCATGGAAAGTTTAGAGGGTTTCTCCAAGGTCACAAGGAAGGAAAGGACCCTGGAGCTTTCTCTGGATCCTTTGTTCTAACCACCAGGCTGGTTGTTTCCCCACAGTGCTCAGCGTGATCCCAACACCACTTCCTCCCAAGCATGTATCACGCTCTGCTTTACTGTCTGATCATTTTTGTTAGCAGCTTAACTCAGGCTAGAGTATTATTCAGTGTGCTTTACCTAGGACCACAGCACTCAGGGTGTAGGCTGCCTCTGCCTGGATTGCTTCAGACTGAGAATGTATCATCAATGCTAGCAAACCCTTGAGACCCCTGGAATTAGCAACTGCTATTTGGTTCTTGTAGTGTGGAATGTAGCCTAAGAACCAAGTTGGAGAAGAAAAAGTAAAGGTTAATCTTTTTAAACCCTTTTTTTAAACAAACATTGTCATTTAAATTTTCTATAATGCTTCATAATGGAATCTGTCCCCTCAGACACATGCCCCTTTGAACCAGATATATGGGATACAAGCAAGCTAAGCCAACTTTTCCAGAGGCTCTTTTTGCAATGTTTTTTGCAATAGTTTTTATAGTTGTTAAAAGCCTGTCCCAGTAGGGACAAGGACAATGTCACTTCTCTTCCTAGCAAAATACACTGTCTGAAATCCATGAAGAGTGCAAGCAGTATAAGCAGCAAGGTGGGAAGGTGAATCACACCATGGCATTTCTGTCAAGGGACTTCCACAGGGCATTGAATTCAGTCCTCCAGCCGAGAGGAGGGCCGCAATACAAATCCTTCCACAGCACTCTTCTAATCCACACGTTACAATAGCAGTTGCAGACAACACATGTCCTACAGCAGGGTTTGAGCCACTACATCTGCAGTGCACAGTTGTGTGTCAAGTATCTCTAATGTTGACAACTTTTCAATATTCCTACTCCTTATACCCTGGTATATTCTGGGCCTGCAGAGTCATTTTCAAATCACCATGCCCCCTTTTTTAAGAAGCCCCACAGTTTCATTGTGGGGCATCTTAAGACCCTCTGTACCAAAATTAAATTTCACCTTGAGTAGGTAAGAAAAGTCTTGAGATAGCTTTGTACCCAGAGACACAGCTAACTACTCATGGATAATGTGGGAAGATGAATTTTACACTTTGAAGGATGACACTTATCCCAGTCACTTCCCTTACCCTGAAGTGTTGTAAGGCATACCGCACACTTGCAAGAGTTTGTAAAAATAATGTCTTGTTATTTTGGTCTTCTGCCTGGCTACGAGAATGACAAGCTTACATCTGTAACAGTCTGATAAATACCTCCCTCTGGAGACTCGTTTTATAACCTGCATTTTAGCAAGGGTTTTAATAGTAGTTAAAATCCATTCTCTCTAGTCTGTCAAACAAACAACGATGCTACTTCTCCCCTTCCTAGCCAAACACATTGTTTGAAATAAATATGGCACATAATCAAATGAACTTTTGGGCTTGTTTTCTTATGTAAAAGGAAGACTTTTTCCTATTTTAAGAAGAAGAAACATCTTCCTAAGTTTTCCTCAGAAAGGGAAATGCCACCCATGGGGGCAAATCCTATTTATTCAAGTGAGTTAATCCAATGAGAACTGATGCAACTACATTACAGCAAACTCCTTAGGAATAAGTTTGTTTTGCATGCTGCCAGTGTCCTAACAGCTCCAAATGTTAAAGGATTACATGACAGACATACCAATACCAAGACACATGTGGTGAAGAACACGGATTGTGCTGAGCACAATATTTTCTCTCTCAGAACACAGCATCCTTTCAAGATGGTCCACTCCATTTGCTGAGAAAATGGCATTTCTCATGTCTCTAGGACCTTGCAAAAATACTCCGAGTCCTTCTATTCCAATTTGGTGGAGCTGCCATGATACAGAGCGTAAAAAACCAACCAGCATGTTCACTCCTAAAATACAACAATGAGGTATTAGTGTATGGAAACCCTTTTCCTATCCCACTTTCAAACCAGAGCAAGGACTGTGCCTTCTTTCATGTTTGGAATTTGCCAAATACAGTGCAGGTGCCACTGGAAACAACAACACTGATTCTGAGCTAGGGTGACAAGAAAGTACCCTTGTAGGTGACAAGAATAATCCACTCCGATATACCATATATGATACTTTCCTGTGTAAGTACTACCAGTATAATGTTAATTAATGTTAATTAATTGTGTAAGTACTACCAGTATAATGTTAATTATAATATCTAGCCCTTTGGGGTGAGAAGATGCACTCAGTTCAGGTTTGAAGTTTGTAAACAGGCAGCTCCAAGACTGCCAGGGATACTCAGGGCTTTTTCAAACTGAAGCAGAGGGAAATCCTATTATAATGCTGTCAGAATTCACTAATGCTACCAGAAACCTTGTGGCCAGTACTGAAAATAAAATTCCAGTCAATTTTGCTTTGTTACAACTCTGGAAAGCACAAGCAGAAATAAGCACAAGTGTAGACTAAGGGCCTCAAGCCTGGTGTCAGTTCATAACGCAGAGGTGAAATTCATCCACAATACTTAGAAAGAGCAAATGATCCTGACACATCCTGACATTTGCAAAGGATGATTCTCTAATTCTAATCTACAGCATTTAACATGCAAATCTAACAGAGAGCGAGTTTCTTTTGCTGCTTATACAAACCCAAGCCTTCAGCCGCTGTCCTCTGACATTCTGATTCAGCTCCAGCTAAGGCCCATAAAGCATCGGCCACAACTTCTTGTACATGCGGACTCTGACTTTTTTGCAGTAGGTGAATAAGAGGTGACGTGCCACCTAATTCCAAAACATTCTTTTGGGCATGAGGGTTTCCTTCAACTAGCCTGTTTGGGGGATAGAAAAATAACTGCTTTACTTTAAGTCAGTGGTTCTATATTACCGGTGCAAAGAAAACAGGTAGAGGTGATTTATGACCACAAGAACACGGGGAAGAGCCAGTAGTGCTGAAATACTATCGCTCTCTTTGCCACACCACAGAAATCGTGTCAGCAGGCAGGCCTAAAGTGCCTCTAACTGACCTTGGTTAGCTGAGCAGGTCTGACTGCCAGCAGCCTACCTACATCCGACTGGCCCCAGTTGCCCGCAAGGGTGCCAGCTGGATGCTTTTCAAACACCAGCCCTTTAGTGCCCAGCAAGCTTCTCATCAGGATGGATGCCTCTTTGCCTAGCCTTGGACTTGACCCCTAGTTTCCTGTGTCCATTAAGTCCTGATACCTTCTGGTCAACTTCTTCCTGGCCCTGGCAAAGCCCAGATCAATAAGCAGAACCTGGCCAGGGAGAACCCAGGTAACTGTAGGGCTGTTTTCCTCCTGCTCCTCCGTGCACATACCCAGGGAGTTTCACCGGGCAGCGTCCACAGGCAACTTGGATACGTCTGAGAGGCAGTGGGCACTAGCTGGTGTTCTCTGCTTGGTGTTCCCCTCTGGAGCCCTGGTTATTGAACTTTCTTCCCATTTTTTCATCCATTTTCCTCAGGATTCAGTTGTTACAGTCAGTGGCCTCCCTCTAACAACTGAGAGAGGTTTGTAGTTCCCTGGCAGGCCTGGGCTCACCATTTAAGTGTAGCAGATAAAGTGTAGCCCCATGTCCTACCTGTTGGTTCCTACTTTCCTGTTCCAAAGACCCTGCTTCCTCGCTTCGTCCTTGTTCCTAGTCCATGATTTCTGTCCAGGTTCCAAGACCTGGATGTCTGGCATGCCCAACACCCTGACAACACCACTACATTTACATTTGTTAGGGTGGAGGGAAATCAAACATAAATGCCTGGCTAGACATGATATACATCATGCAGCCGGCTGACCTCTTTGTCCCAGACTTGCCAGTTCCTGAATCCACCCCCGCCCCTGTTCCTAATGGCAGTCTAGTCCCATATCTTGCAACAACTGACTCCTGGCTTTACTTTGGCAACTGCCCACATGCCAGTCCTGTACAGTTATAGATGCCTCTCTAGCCCCCTGGTTGTGGTCTGGATCTCTGCTCCTTGGCCTGTAGTTTGACCCCAAATGACTGCCTACATCTCAGTCCCTTACAGACATTGACCTCCTCATTCATCTGCTCCTGATCCCTTGACTCCTGATTCTAATTGGTACCCCTGCTTCCTTGCCCTTGTCTGCTCCTGGGCCCCTGGTTGTGACCCTGTGGAATCAAGCCACAATTGCCCGTGTTCAAGTAGTTCCCCTAATCGAGGCAAGTCACCTTCAAATCATGCAGCATTTGCTTAGTGTTACAAACCCTTGGAACCTAACTGGAGAGATCAATACACTCATCACCGCATACGGAGAAAAAGAGCATTCCTGGAGCTGTGTTGAGATGTGAGTTACACTTTTAACCTTGTGGGTTTCTATCCATCTTCAGCTTACGTGTGTTCCTAGCCGTGCCACACACACCCCATGGACCTTTGGTTCTGAGGATCACTTAATCACACAAATAGGACAGGATGATGCTATCTCTGGAACTGTGTGGTTCTGCTCATAGAAGCTCTCTCCTTTCTTGTGATTTTCCAATAAAGCAACCATTAACTTTTGAAAAAAAAATCAAATGGCAGAAACACAAAGGGTCTGATTCATATTTCTTTCCTATTTTACCAGGATGTGACAGGTCAGGCTAAGGTGCTGGATGTTCTCTTGGATCTATGACAGTGCTTCCCAAACTCTTCCTCAGGGGCTCCAAGGCCCAGAGGGCAGGACCTGGTGCGGGAGGGAGTGCTGTGCTGAGCTGCCATGGCTGCCAAGCTGAGGCACCCCCCCACTCACCTGGCAGCAGCGTGGACACAACTCCATGGCACCACTGCTGCTGTGCCTCACCTTGATGGCCATGGTGGTGCAGCGCTCCCTCAGTGGGTCCCACACACCGGGCTGCAGAGTTGGCTCCTTCCTGGAGCTGGTCCAGCCTGACTACAGCCCCACACCCTGCTGTGGGAGCAGAAATCTTAGGGGGCATGTTTATTGCAACCCCACCTGCTGATGTTGTGACCCCATTTGGGGTCGCGACTCACAGTTTGGGAACCGCTGATCTATGAACTGCCTTCCCCATATAATCTACAATGCCTGTCTGCACGTTAATGGACATACTACATTTTCCCTAGACACCTACTATAAAAAAAAGCAATCCCTAATTGCTATTTAAGTAATTTTTGATCTTGTTCAACACAGATTTGCATTTTGAAACACCTAGAAACCCAAATAGAGCAAAACAAACTTGTGTAGTATAATGAGAACCATTTCCAGTTGGCACAAATCATTTCCAGGAACAGTTCTGTCTGATATCTGTAAAGGGAGAGAGATTTGATTAATAAATAGGAACCATTAACCATTAGGGGAAAAAAGTAACATGGAAGTTGTAGCAGATTGGGTTGTGGGCAGTCTGGCCCAGCATCTGGATGCCAAAAGCAGCCATACATGTTACCTGCCATACATGTTACCTGTGAAGAGCTTTTATTGCCTGCTGCTGGACTTCTCTGGCCTTTGACTTCATCATGTGTATCAAAGGAACGGCTCTGTAGCAGGGCACTAAGGTGCCTGCTACTTGAAAAGCAGGAGTATTGGCTCAGGTGCTAGTTGCTAGGGGCAACCAGGAGGCGCTAAGGGCCCACGCCTGGTGAGTCAGCTGACCGGAAGGGGCAGGGCCGACTACTATAAAGCACAGACTGGAGGCCAAGAGTGCTCTCTCAGCTGGCAGCCAGAGAGAAGGAGTACTGCTTGACTAAGCAAAAGAGAAAGGCGTGAATGCAAACAGTTGCTTGTATTAATGAAGGATGGAGCACCCACGGAGGGCGACTCAAAGGAGGTTGGCCGAGCGGTTTAGTTTTATATTATAGCCCAGGGGCTTGTTTTATTGTTGCGGTAACCCCGGAGGACTGGGTGAGGCTATTAGGGGATGGAGGAGGCCTCATAGGGGCTCCACGGTAGTGTGGAGATGCCGGCACCAGGGAGGGCGCAGCATTCAGGGGTGCACTGACCCCAGCCCCGAAAAGTGGAGTGGAGAATTGGAGGCCAGGTAAGGCTGAGGCTGCCTGAGCCTTGCAGGGAGGTTTGGGACCCCGAGGAGGAGATTTGGGGCCAGGCATGGCTACAGCCACCTGAGCCCCAAGGCGGTGGTAACCCCAGAGAAAAGGGGGACAGCGAGAAGCCCCATAGAGTGGGCAGTGCGAGAAGCCCCCAAAAGGGGGCAGAGATTGATGAGTGCAAGGTGGCGCAGGTTGCGAGGCAAGCCAGAAGCACCAGTGAGGTGCAGGAGAGTGAAACAGACAAACAACATCCGGTAGATCTGCGAGGCTTGGGGCGTGGTACAGGAGTGGTTGGAGCCACGCACAGCCCATAAGGCTGGAGTGCACTGAGTCACCCAAAATAGCACAGGGACCAAGATACATCTGAGCACCACGTCCAAAGGGACAAAAGGCAGCCTCCCTTATACTTATTTGACATCAAAGACGTGGCAGGCGAGATGTGAGGGTGCTTTAACACCAACTTGGCATGGTAGGGGGCACTAGGGGAGATCACGGCCACCCCTAGGACCCCGTGCTGTTACAGGCTCCATCTACTGCGAGGAAAGCAGCCTGGTTGTTTGGATGGTTTGCCGTCACACTTGCCACAGCTTCACTCCATGCAATCATCAGGCTTGGGGAGCGGCATTCTTCAGCCAGTTTCACCAGTCCCGACAGGAAGCCGTGCTGCTTCCCATATCATCTTTACAGCTTTTTCAGGCTTCAGCCATCAAAGTCAGGCTCCTCAGCAAGGGGCTCTCCACTCCCCGTGCCCAGGCAGCTACTGCTGCCTCTCCGAGCTGCACCAAGCACCCTCTGAAATGCTGAGATGGTGCCGGCTGAGTGAAGTTCCTCAGCAAAGCCCTTTTCACAAACTATTTCACAAATGGCACCCACCACCCCAACCAGAAGCCCTTCCGCCCCCTTGCTGAGTAGGGAGACAAGAACCTGGATGCCTCCATGCTTGGCCACCTCTTCCTTCCCACCACTGCCTCTCAGGAGCCTGTTTAGCAGCACCTGTTCTTTCACTGCATGGCTGGCGTCTTTCCCAAGCACACCAAGCACCACTGGAACCAGCCCCTGCTCCAGCAAGCGGGGAGCTGGACATGGCACTGCCCTGGACGCCATGTCCATGAGGTGTGCCAGGGGCAGGCCTGTGCTCAGCGCTTCCCTGTCCGAGTCTGACGGGAGCAGAGTGATCAGCCTGGCGCACACGTTGACCTGGGGGTCCCCGAGTGCCAGGAAATACCTGAGCAGAGCCCAGTGCCTGTGCATGGTGCACAACTCTGCCACGCCGTGCTGCTAGGCATTCAGGGCTGCCATGTTCGCCCCTCATCCAACCAGCAGCTCTGCCACTTGGTAGCTGGCGCTAGTGGCAGCCAGCAGGAGCGGGGTGTTTCTCAGCCCATTCCCAGCCGGTGCTTCCAGCTCCTCCGGCCCCGCGGTGTCCAGAAGCCGGGCCATGGTGGCCACATGGTTGCGTAGCGTGGCGCGGTGAATGGGGGCCCAGGCGCCCTCTTCCAGGTGGACAGCGCCTGCATGGAGGGGGCTGGGCTCCTCAGCCTGCCCCAACCCTCGGGGCTTCTTACAGCCCTAAAGCAGGGGAGGGTGAGTCCCGGCCCCTGGCCAGGGGGCAGCAGGGCTGAGACCCACGCACCCCCTGCTCTGGCCGGCCCCGGGTACCTGCAGCATGGGCTGGACCTGCTCCCGCTCCCACGGCACCCTGTGCACTGCCCTTGCTTGAGCCCGGAGCTGCTGGAGGCAGTGAGCATAGCAGGGCAAAGGCTTCTCGGCTGCCCTCACTCCTGCTGTGGTTTTGGGTGGATCCTGGAAAAGGAATACCTCCCCAGCCCCACTGTTTGCAAGGGAGACTGAAGCCCTGAGCGCAGCTGCGGCTTCTCTCTTCCTAGCACGTGCCGGGCCTGACCCTGCAAATGCTGCAGGTCTCCCCTTAGGGGCCAAGCCCCCTCCAGGGCACTCCTGGGAAAATGTCCTGTCTTTCCTGACTACAGAAAAGTGAATAGCACAGTGAAAACATCTCCGAAGGACCACAAGAGCCCAGCCGCCCTTGCAGATTTCCATTGGAAAATGAATCATGTGCAGGCCCTGGTTTAGAAGGGCCAGGCTGGGTTCTGAGCATTGCTTGAGGGCCACGCTGCATGGTCGCTCTAGGGCTCCAAGCTATTGGCATTTCTTTTGTTTCCTTTTTAAAAGAAATAGCAGGTCATTTGTGTCAAAAAGAAAGGGTAGAATGGAGTTTGGAAACAAAATAAACTTAAGTTAAATTTTAGCCGAATCAGTTTTGACAGTCTCACTTTCAATGCATGACACCAGCTACATGTCCCTGGATAAACAGGATGGTCAGACAATGTACTATATATTTATCATATCAGGCATCACTCCACCTGCCATCAGGAGAGCAGTGGTCAGCAAGATGGACCACCTGAGATAAACTGAAGAAGTGAGACACCTGCTGTACGACCATCCCACTGCACACAAATGTCTGAAGTCGTGCAGGAGCGTCCTCACCAGCGCCCAACCTCTCGATGCCACACCCCAGGAAACACGACTACAGATGTGGGACAAGAGGCTGAAGAAAATACCTGACAGTGAAAAAATGCATATTCCAGTCTCCGAGTCCTTGCCAGCAGGGGCTGATGAGCCATGGCATAGGTGGTGATGTCTCAGCTATCTGTGTACTGGAGTTAGGCACTCCAAGGAACTAATGAAGAAGTGGGGCTATGCCCTTGGTTCAGCCTCTGAGACTGGCACAGAGCCTGCTGTGATGCCTGCTGCTCAAAGCCTCTAGAAACTCATGTCACACTGAGATCTGGATCCCAAGTCTTCTGAACTGTATTCCCCCCCCCAGTACAGAGGTGGTTTTGACTGGAGCCTGTCTTCACATGTATGCTCCAGAGCAGAGGATCCAGATACTGATGCTCGCTCCGTGATGTTAGTTTTGTACCAGCAGAGGGCATCACAGCTTCGTGCAGCTCAGCATTTACTCCCCACTTCAGCTGACTAAACCTGGCTTGGAGCTGAGAGATTATTTTTACCACCTTGCTTTAGCCAGGTATGTGCAATTGAAAGTGACTTGTCTTCTCCATAACCCTTCATGGTTCCAGATTTCTAATCAGAGGATGTGTTGCTGCTTATCATTTCTACCTGCCCAATGAGAGAATCATGTGCCTGTGCTGATATCTGTTAGTCCAGGTTTTCTCTTACATCTTGTCTCTATTTGCACCCAAATAAAACCTCTAAAAATTAGTAGGTAATAGAATCTAGTGGCATCCTACTTCCACCAAGACACTAGTGATGCACTAGTTCACACAAGAGCTAACCACGTTTTGTTATTTTCTGTCTGAAATTAAACGATCTTTTCCTGATACTGAAACTTGTCAACACTGACCTGATGATTATCAAAGCATTTCAATTGAATTAGGTTTATGTTTAATGAAACCTACACCCAGTATGTTTTCCCTTTTGTGAATGTAAATTGCAAATGTATAAAAAAGTGCAACATACTGGTGTACTGCAATTTTCTTTTCCCCTTTAATGGAGAAAAGCATAGGTTGATATATATATATCCATATGACTTGAAAGTGACAGATGGCAGACTCATAGCTTTATTTTTTCAATGAACATTTTTCTTCTTATAAGGGAAAAACATGGCATCTGAGTGAGATCATTAAAAAAAAATAAAATCCCTCCTTCCTGCAAAATACTATATTCTTTGTTGTTGCCTAGTTACTTGCAGCTGTTACCTTAGAAGGCTGTAAAGTCATCTGAATGATTTTTTTGCATGTTGTGTCTGAATATGAGCAGAGGAGTAATGATCAAAACTCAATTTTTTTGATGAACATGATTAAGACAGACTGGAACCCGGGCAAATGGGAAAAGAAAGAACATTTTTACAAAGGGGTAATTTACTGTACTTAATATGTTCCCTTTGACATTAGCTGTTTGACTAAAACCAAGCCCCCCCTTACAAGCCAGTCACTGGTGCATAAGCAGGCAGTGAAGCCACTGGTGTGATGCTTTTGACGTTAAAGCCTGATGCCCAGGAAGTGCTTCTCTAGTTAATGTTAATTACCATTATGGGTAGGTATCCAGGAGACGAATGGCTGTTGGGGTCTGATTTTGATCATATGAATAATACTGCAAATCAGGAGCAATTCTATTGAAGACAATGGAGCTACTGAATCAGGAGAAAGGGCTGACCTGTGAGCATATATTTAAATTCAATTCCCTTTGGTAATTAGCTAAATTAAGTAAAACTGTTCTAAAAGCTACATCTAGGATTCAAAACTGTGGTGTGCATTTCAAAGGGGTTTCTAATAGAGAAATCCCCCTATACATGTGTGTGAGCAACAGGTTTCTGAAATACCATTATGACCATGAGTACTAAAATGTCATTGAAAGGATTCCACTGCATTGCTGTTCATTGGGCTTGGAAACTTATGCCTGCTCCTGGAGCTAGTAAGGTTAAAAATAGAACTGCTTCATAAT